ATTTAAAATTGTATTACAATTAATGAAAAATCCTCTATATATACACTGTATTTTATGGCATATAAAATCAACTTTTGTACGAAAACAAAAAAAACAGTAAAAACATTGCTCTGCATTTATATATGATCAATATGCTAAAGAATTCTCCAAATAGCCTTTAGTACACTATAGTTAACGTTTATCTAGCCTAAATATTTAATGAAAATATTATTAGTTAAACATATTATTATTACATTGATTTTAACCAGAATACAGTAAAAAAAAAATTTCAGGACTGACTGTTAAAGGCTCAAGATGAATTAAATGCACTAAATATTTCCAAGCTGAAATTAGGATGCATCTTATATACCATAAAATACGGTTTATAAAATGCATCCTGATTTCAGAATGAAATATTTAGGAAAAGTGTGTATAAGTGTAAATATATACCATATTTTATGGTATATATATTTATACATAATTACTTTTCTTGTATTGTATTTATACATAATACACTTTTCCTGTATTCTAACACACAAGTTTTAACCATTTTTACTTGTCCAAAGTAGAAATATGTCTTAGAATTGCCTGTATATTTTAAAATTTTCCATTCAATTTAAAACTTATAGTGCATCTTAGAATTGATGACATGATTTGAGAAAATATAGTATATATTAAATAAAACTAAATAATTTATATAAATTAATAAACAATAATTCATATGGGAATAATGAGATAGCTCATTCAGTTAAAATGCACACTAGTCTGAAATATTTGAATTTAATTCAAAGTTGAATCCTCAGAAAATTTTATGGACATTGGCCCAGATCTATCAGATCCACATCCTTTCCCACTGTAAACTTCCAAACCCATGATAGACATGAAGAAAGAACATGTTAATATCTGCATGGCAAACTTTAAAAAAGTATACAATTGTAAAGGATGGCAAAGAAAGTAAACTTGAATATTTCAGAATCAAACAAATTCAACAATATCTTTCTATATTATAACAAATGGGCAATGTCATTCATTTCTCATTCAGCTGTATTAAAGCCAATTTACTAGATAACGTGCCTATTAACACATGCAAATCTAATCACTTCTTTTCTTAAGAAATGAATTAAAAAATATATTACCTCTGATAAACATTCCATGTGATTCAAAGAAAGCGGTAATCCAGTTATTTCTAAAAATTTCAAATTTTTATTCTTGTAGATACAAGCTGATAAAGATTTAATCAACTTAGTCAATAATTCTGGTTTAAGGATTATTGGAAGTCCTTTTAACACACTATATTTTTCTAAGAAGAATCTGTAAATATTACAATCTGAAAACAGTAAAAGACAAAAATAAAAATAAAAAAATGATTATTTTACAGATTACTAAATTAAATTTTTTTTTTAAATCAAATTTAAGTAATTTACCACTAATATTTCCTGACATTTTTTTTAAATATTCACTATGCAGAACAATCCCTTCTAAACTTTCATTCATTTCAATGGCTTCGAGTAAAGGAGTCCACACGGACGAATCTAAAAGGTCAAGAGTGCAATGCAATCTTCCCTTATCAAGTTGTATTTTCTTCATGCATGTAGAAGGACACAATTTATAGTAGAAACACAGAGAAATGTAGTCATTTCGGAAGTCTTCACCCCTCGTGCATTTATTTTCGACATTAGACGGTGGAGTCATAACTTTTGTCTGTGTAAAAAAAAAAAAACAAATTCTTATTAAATACCTAAAAATTATATTTTTTTGTACGTAGAGATGAACCACGTGTTTTCAGTACACTCTACCGTCATTTCGACGCCATGTTTAAATGGAAACGAGCAAAACATGCAGCATGTCCTAGTTGATACAGAATTTAAATTTTTTTACATCGAATTTTAAGGATTATTTTAAACATAATGTACACTCTCTTAATGCAGATAAATTGGAAATGTTAGCATCAGGCCACACAATAAATAGTGATGTTTCTGTTTCCAACATGGCGTCGAAAAGATGGTAGAAATAGTTAACTGAAAAACAATAATTAGTTAATTTTTAAAATAATAAAAATTTTTGAATCTTTATTATGTACCTTTATGATACACAAACAAATGAAGTTAGCTTTATAATTTCACTAATATACATTATATTTTTAACTATTCACTCGCTTTTAATTCTATAACAGTTTAAAAAATAAAATAAATAAATTGGGAACAAGAATTAGTATGAATGAATTATAAACTTTTGTGTATGATTTTATAATATAATAATAATTAAATATTGTAATTGCTATAATAATGTAAACAAACAACCAACCTAATTTTCCGGCATGCGTTAATTTCAAATTTAAAAACGTAAACATCAGACAGCGCCCTCTTATGGTGAAAAACTGTCTCCATTTTAATTTAAAATATTTTTGAAATACAAATATAAGACTGGTGTTAGCAAGAAAACAGTACATATCTATGGGAATATAATGATTATAATAACTGAATTATGATTAAAATATGTGGAGTTTGAAGAAGTTTGCTAATTTATATAACATTTTCAATAAGCGCAGTCGTCGTATAACACGCCCCTGATGGAAAACGAACAAGCTTGAACCCCGAGATGTGTTCCCTGAGCAAAACAATATGTCAGAAGTGGGGTTCGAACCCACGCCCTCACTCGAGGACCAGAGCTTAAATCTGGCGCCTTAGACCACTCGGCCATTCTGACACGATTTTTAAAACACTTCGTTATCAAGTAGAAAAGTAATCATTATCGATATTGTCATTTTCGTTTTCGATTAAATTAGTTTAAACCCATGCAGAGGTGCGACGTCGTTAGAATAGAGGAACAACGCCTAGCGAGCGAGCGAAGATGCGTAATAAATGTTAATATTGGTAATGGCCTGGCGGTGTTTCCCATACTATCTTCACGTGTAGATTTAACTATAGACGTTTTTCTATAGAAATTCGTCGCGACCGCAATCTGCTCGACAAGTTCCTCATGCGTTCCATGGCAACCTACCATTAATTTAAAACTATCCACACCTCGTGTTTTTTAATACAGGTTAGAATTAATTTGGATATAATTGTGATTACATCTATGTGTAATTTTCTGAGGAGAGGATGCTTTATAATCCACAGTGCCGGGCGGATGGCCAAGGCGGCAGCCTACCGCTCTGGAGACCTGGGTTCGAATCCGAACGGGTCGAAAATTCCCCAGGAATTTTTCGGGGGGTTGGTTCGTTCGGATATTCCTGGCCTCGCCACCCGGCAGCCCCATTGTGGGCCTGGCCAAACCTATGGATTTTGCAAAAAGAGGCCCTTTTAGTGCCCACAGGGCGGAAAGAATAAATGATGGAACAAAGAAGGTATCAACGAGAGATGCTTCAAAAAGGATTAAGGATATTCGAAAACAGGCTCCAATTTACTTGTTTGCTAGGCAAAAGAAACATAGATAAATCCAGGGCAGCGATGTTTCTTATTTGTTTTCTTTCCTTGTTTATCTTACATTTTAAAAAGTAATATAGTGAAACTTACGTACAGAAATTCGTTCAAGACATCTGTAAATGAAAACTAACTAAAACTACATTTAACACACGTGAAAGACTGCAAAAGGACAATTAATATTAAGTAATTAAATAATTTGCAGTCATTATAAATAACACATTTTATAAGATTGTGCATTGTTGTGTCGTGTTTTTTAGTGTTAAACCTTTAAATGATAAGAATTATTAAATTAGTATCAATTATTTCGATTGAATTATAAGTTACAGAAAGAAACAATTCTGTTTCATTCGAGTTATTAGCAATTTCATAACATGTCAGTTTTGTCATTCTTATTATTTTTATTTGAGATTCGTCGATTGGCATAACATTTCTGTCTTTAATGAATCTTCCACAATAACTTTATTCGGATCAGATGCGGAACGTTCATTTGTCCATTTGATGATGGAAACGTAGAGAATAAAAGAATATATATCTAACCATTTTAAATCTGTAAGAAATGGTAGAGTTCAGAAAATCGAATCATCAGTTGAACAGGGTGACAAAATTAATATTAGATCAGTCAATTTCGAACGGTTGCTGAAGAATAGAGACAAACATTCGTTCCATAGATTGTTGCGAAGATTTTCAATGGTTATTTTCTCTAACGAATTAAAAACATTTACCGATTCATCTTTTAAATTGTTCTAGAAATATAAATAGCGTATATAAAATAGCTCGAGAAGGCGAATATTTTGACAGTAACGTCCAATCAAATAGATTTTCACGTATTGAAAATTGTTCACCTTCAGTACTCCCACGTGCTTCTCCGATAAACTTAATAGCTGAAAAATTCCTTCTTCAAATGTAAACCCTTTGTTACTTTTATCAATAGTCATCGACTTAAGTTGTGAAAGTTTCCTGTTCTTCAGTTGGAAAAAGAAATAAATTTGTTAGATATAATCGATTTCCGAAATTTTCTTCTACGTAAAGATATAACGTAGCCAATTCGTATTTTTCCCACATTTATCTGCGTTATTGGAAGAAATTCTAAGACGTACGAAAGTCCCTTTGGTATCACAACTGTGACGATTACTTTTGTTTGACATATTTGCGATGAGTTTTTTGTCGTTTGTCGGTTTGATGATACAAGAAACGAAGGCCTTCATATGTAGTGTAGCAAAATGATAACTCTAGACCAGTGTTTCCCAACTTTTTTGTGCTATGCCCCACCTAAGCTTTTCTAAAATTCTCATGCCCCCTAACATATACAGTGGCTATACCAGGCATGGCCAACATACGGCCTGTCTAATGAATTTATGTGGCCCGCGATTAATCTTCTAATATTAGCTGCTCAAGTCCGAATAGCTCGATAAAAAAAATTCTAATGCCTAAAAAATAAACAAAAAAAAAGGTCAACAACTCATTTTCAAATTGTCCCCTTAACAATCGAATTGCCCCCTTGTGGGGCGTGGGCCCCACGTTGGGAAACACTGCTCTAGACTTTCTAGCAGAGAACAATGTCTTCCAATAACTTCAATTACGGTGTATATATAATCACTGCACATTGTATTCTGAGCGTGGATAATGGGCGTAATGTTTTCCGAATTTTTTTATTCATGTGTCTAATAACTGAATAGAGACTGGTTTTCCATATAAGACCTTGGTGGAGCATCTTTTCCTCGGCAGACAAAACATATATATCGTTGCATTAAACTGTGAATCCAATACTAATTTATTTCATTAGATGATTTATTTAAAAACTCTTACTTTAAAGGTTAAACTCATCGAGTCACTAGTCTCTATACAGAAACGAGATAACAGGGTGCAATTTAGAAGCTAACCTCAACTTAACACTCAGTAGCGAGAAAGTCATGCCTACTTATTGGTTAGTGTTGTTTTTTAATTGCTATTTATTCTCTTGACGGATCCTTGGTGATAAGCATAGATTTCGTTGAAAAGAACTAATCACACAGGGAACACACCAGTAATTGATTATGCCAATTACTGGTGTGTTCCCTGTGTGATTAATTCTCTTCAGCAAAATTTTTATATTTTGACTTAATATAAAACGTTTAAATTTATATAGCTCGATAAAATGGTGGCCCAGAAGTCGGTTGACTCTTGTAAAGAACAAATCGTAATTGATTAATTAACTAAAAATTATTCGAGAATGTATTGTATTTTAAACTATATATGCATTTTTTTATCCATTATTTGTTTTGTTTGGTTGTGGAACGAATAATTTAGCTAACAGAAAAGACACATCTGGCAGATGTGTGTGTAAACGCGACACCGGGATTGTTTATCAACCAACGTTATAAAGGAATTTCCCCTATTTTTCCGATTTTAGGGGACCCCTTTCTAAATAATCTATAGGGGAAAGTGGTGCAAGATGGGGCTATGGAGTAAGACGGGGACGTCTGTTTTCGTGGTTAACGGGCTTTCATCTAGCTGTTATTTGGGAAATTAAATGTCAACCTCAAAAAGGATCACGAGACGAGAGAACGTCCGAATCGCTCTCTTTGTTTGGAAGTAAGACAATTTTCCACGTTTCATCAATACTTCATTTAATTTTAAGCCCGCTACAAAGTTTCTACAAAGTAAGCATCGTTGCGAACTTTTACATTACCTTTTGGATGAAGATATTATGGTATTCGAAGTAACCTTTAAGACTGAAATTGTTTAGTTTTGTGATAAAGTTAACCCGTGTTTGCAGTCAGTACGAAAAGTTCAAGTTGGGCAAGATGGTGAGGGCATGACGGGGTACCCCATCTTGCCCAAATTTGGCCACGAATTCTGCCGCTGGCTAGAGGCACCGCAATATAGCGCAGCGAACTAGTTTTAAATTCGTTGTCATCGATAATTTTATATAATTTTTTAGAATATATAAAATAATAAGTTTAAAAATGATCTTTTTATAGAAAATGAAATATTTCACTTTTAAAACATATCTAACTGTAATAAATTTATACAGTACAGTATATATAGTACAGTTGTCCCTCTATAGTCCAACGTTTTTTAATCCGACATGCTCAGTAGTCCGACGCACCTCCCGTCAAGGTACCCGTCCCCGTTACGTGCCTGCTTGCACAGAAGCATGTCGCGATGTGAATCTCCCAATCCAATTCTTACTCGATGACACACATTTCGTGTGTTTTATGTGAGCAGTTCTGTTCGAACAGTTGGAGTAGAGAATATTGTAAGTTACTGCTAGCAAAACAATGCGAAATATGTAATTATTTTCGGTAATCCGGACACTTTTGGTAATCTGACACACCTTTGGTCCCATACCTGTCGGATTATCAAGGGACAACTGTATTACTTTATTATTTATGTTTTTACGTTTTATTTTATTTGCGAAAACATTTTTTAAATTTAAATAATATCTTAACAAGAAATAAAATGTGAAATAACAATCGAAATAAAAACTTTTTCCACGAAAAAAAAAATATCGTCCGCTTACAAAATAGCGAAACTGAGCGTGCACGAAGTGACAGTATTGTCTGGTAAAGTAAATACGAGTAAGTTCAAACTTTTATATTTATTTATTCGGAAAATAATAATAAATGTAGCCGCTGTGATAAATTGGCGCATTGTTCTTGCGCCAATATTGAAGAAAACGTCATTTTAATTTGTCCTCCTTTTGTATAAAAATAATATCCCCATCTTACCCCGCGGGTGGGGCAAGATGGCGCATTTAC